GGCCTGCCGAGGGGTGCATACTGTGCGCTGGGGGCACCAGGGGTTCTGTAGCATTCAAGGGTCCTGAGCGGAGGGATTCCTGGCGCGCTCTTGGGGCGCCTGAGGCATCTGAACAATTCCAAGCCCTAACCCACTCTACGGGCAAGGTTCCCACTGAGCGCAGATCTCAAGGGCCGGGCTGGAGGCTGGCTGACGAATGCTCCAGGGGACAGCTGGGAGCCTTGATGGCTGGAGGAGCCCCAGCCCCCTCTGCGTGGCCTCTCACCATTCAGAAGTCCAGCTCCGGCTCCTTTACAATATGGAACTTCTGAGAGGACAAGCTGCCGCGTGTAAGTGCTAATCAAGTCTCCACTTGCATCCTATTTGCGACTATTTCATTGGCCAAAGCAAGTCACGTGGCCAAGCCCATGTGGGTCTCTGCAGGGCCGTGAATTCCAGAAGGCTTGGTACTTTGGGGACCTTCAATGTAACAGCCTATAATGGTCATTGATCAAGTATTAACAACTAACGTTCACAGCTTTAAAAGCGTTTCCATTTATTACCTCATTCTGTTTAACAATTATCCTCGAGGAATAAATAAATGTCACCCCTGTTTACAAAGAAAGAACCTGGAGCTCAGAAATCTGGACACCTAAAATCCCACAATTAGGAAATGGTAGAATTGACACTTGCGCTTAGATTTTATTACTGTGTTTTTCTGTTATATCACAGCTATCTTTTTTTTTGGCCAGCGCAGTCTGTGTTTGTGTAATATTTCCGAGTTTTGAAAATTTGTTGACAAATAAATAAGATAATCATCCATTTTTTCCCCAAATACTTTCTCCAAAGCTTAGATTGTTTATTTTTAATTCTTTGGGAGAAACGCACCCAGTTCTCAAAAACTTTGATATATCACAAGAGTCATTAGCGACGTTTGCTTATTGTAATGTAAGGCCCAAGAAAGCCAGGATGGCTCTTTGGAAGAACATACCCCACGTCAAATCCGAAAGGGGATTTATTTAGACTTCGTGATGCCCAGAGTTTCTTCTGAGGAACAGAGCTTTTCTGCACTGCAGCCCCATGACAAAGAGTTTCAGCCACAAACTCCCAGACCCAAGTCCCTTGAGGCATTTATACTACTGTGCAAAACGTCACTACTAACGGACCGCGATTGACTAACAGAACTTGTATCACTGGGGTGGAGTTGGGGTGAGGGGGGCTTATCAATACAAATTTAGACTGAGAAAGAATCCACACATATTCTCATTACTGATTGCAATTCCTGGATGCAGGAGAATGCATCAGAAGGAGATGAAAATCAGATGCGTCTCAGACACTCCCCGTGGTGCCGTTGCCATGGCAATAATGGCGGAGGAGCAGAGGCCCAGGGGGCCCGCAGCCCTGCGTCCCTTCCTAGGATGAGGCGCTCCACTGAGGAATGCCCTGTCATCTGGTTCCATACCCTCAGCCCCCAGCTTCCAGGTGACACAGTTCATTAGGAGGAGCCTTTGATGGCTGGGCCTTTGATCCATTCCCTCTGCTTCCCTTGTCACTTGCCCGGTAGGCAGAGAAATAAGGAAAACTTAATAGGCCAAATAGCTCAGAACTCCCCATCTTGTACGGACATCCTTGTAAGAAGCTTCTCCTTTAAGCGACCTCAGGCTTCACGATCATCGACCTTTTGTGACCTGCCTCATGCCATTCCAACTTCACAGGAGCAAGGCCAATAAGAGGTGTCATGGGAGTGGGGGGCAACGGAAAAATAAGTCAGTCTGGCCTTGGGAGCTCCGTGAGTTTGTAGCAAACCGGAGTTCAGTCAGTCTTGCCTCTTGTCAACGTTGTAACGAAATGCCATTCCAGGACCTGCCTGTAGGTGATTTTCAGGTGGAAAAGTACGCTTCTATGTGGCCTGAAGCAGGAGCAACCAGCCTGTCCATCTTGGGGCTCTTCGTGTCCCCTGAAGGATGTCATACCTTATTTCATTTTCTAGAGTATTCATCTAACACATACTGATATTGGGATCGATTAAGACCAGAGAAGATAGCAAATCCTCCCCCAAGGAATTCACATGCTAAAAGAAAGAACAAGCTCCTGGGGAAAATAAATTAATAACAGAAGCTTAGCATCCACCGAGATGCCAAGAGCTCAAACTTGCGTGCCAGTGGTCTATTGCTATTACTGACCTTAACCTTGAAGGCTGACAAAGGTTCCATCTGCTCTGGACTTTTCATGCTGCTCCCCTCGTACTCTGCTGTATCGTTCTGCTTCATCCACCTGACCTGATCTCCTGAGGCATCCCTCTCTGAGAAACATCTCACCTCTTCAAACAGCCTCGCCCTGACTAAAGCATAGGGCTTCAGGCAGTCTGGAGGGCGGGGACACAGGCCTAGCTTATTTTCAAAGCCACCCAAGTGATCCCAACATGCAGGCAAGTTCGGGGACCAGGGCCCTAAGGAGAGCGATAAAGGACAGAACTTCTAGATGGAAACAGAGACTTGTGACTTAGTGATCTGTTTTTTTTCAAGAACGGTTTTTGTTTTCTACTTTCTGCACCCTCTTCCCTGCCTCACCCCAAGTTAAAAGGCTTCAATGTTAAAAGGTTAAGAAGAAGGCCTAACAGTCACATGACAGTCTATCTTTCAAAACCATCTCCCAACTCATATATTTTGAATCTGGGCGAAGCACCCCATCCCCCAGACACCTGGCTCATTCCTATTACCTTACACACTAATGGCAGCCGTTGGCTCTCGTAAGAAAATGCCAGCTTCTTCATGATAAAGTATGCATTAAATAGACATACACACCTTTCAATTCAGAGGGGCTCAAAGGGAGGAGAGAGGGGACAGAGAGACAGACATAGACAGCAGCCGTCAATTTAGTGGATGTTTTCTGCCACCTACTGGACATTTTGGGATGTGCTATGCAGAAGTCACCTGTAATCACAGTGCCTGTCATATAGAGGTGGCTCAATACTGAACGGTGTGGAATGTCCTTATTTTTATTTATAAAAATCTTGGGAGCATTGCCAAATACCTACACATGATTGTTTTGTAGGTGACCTTTTAGAAGGCCAAATAGTCCCTATAACATGCTTTTTTACTTTAGTTTCTTATGCTCACCTCTATTTATCGTTTCTTAAAAGCTGAACATCTAGATTATCGAGACTTGTTCCCAAGCATATGATGTAATTAAAAGATCTGTCATCTCCCTGACCTTTCGCTCTCAGAGTCCCTCGGGGCTCAGTGATCGGACCGCCTCTGTTTTCATCCCCTGCCTTGACGATGTCATCTGGCCCTCGACTTTAAACTTTCTCCACACACATTTATGCCCAGCATGTCTATCTCCAGGTTGGACGTCCCCCTTGAATCTCGGGTTCACCGACCCTGCTGTGTACTCGGCGTCTCTCCTTGGACGTCTCACAGACATGTCAAACCTAACACGTCTGACTCTCTGCTCATGCTTTCAGTGCACGCTTCTTCCCGCGTCCCCCCGCCCCCCACTCACATCTACTCTCTGTCAATCTTCCCACTTCGATAAACGGCAACTCTATTCTTCCAGGTCTTCTGTCCCCCAGAAACACTGGGGTCATCCTTGACTGTTCCCCTTTCATCAGACTCCACGTTAAGTCCATCGGGAAATTCTTTTGGATATTTCCAGAATGCAATCCCCCCGGTCTAAGCCATCCTGTCTTACCCGGATGATTGTGGTGGCCTCCTAGTGTTCCTCCTGAAGTCTACGTCCCCAAAGAAGCCGGGGTTGTTCGCTCCTGGACCAGATCACGTCCCTCCTCCTCCGCTTTGAAACGCTCCAGTGGGTTCCCACCTCACCCAGGGTGCGAGCCGCGGCCCTGACGATGGCCTTCTCGGCTGTGGGTCTGGCCCCCAGCTCGCTGCCAGCCTTATCTAGGACCACTCTTCCTCGCTCATGTTACTCCAAGCCCACTGTGTCCCCGCAGGGACCTTGGCCCTGCCGGGCTCGGGGCCAGCCTTCCTCCCCTGACATCACCCTCTCATTTCCTTCACTGAGCCTTTTAACTCGGGTCTCAGCTCCTCTTCAGGCGACTTCCATTCCCCTTCACCACCTCGCTCTTCTCCTCCTGAGCACTTATCATTGAACACACGCCACATTTCACTTATCTTGTCTGTCACCCTCTTCCCTTCCCTTCCCTCCTCACCCTCTGGCCAGAGTGGGAGGGGTTTGGCCTGTGTGTTCCTTGCTGTATCTCCTGTCCCTGTAATACCAGAACTTAATATTTAGTACATCTTAATGGGTGGGGGAAGGTACTATATGATTGGAAAAATGAGAGAACAGACTTGTAATTGTCTTTATTTCCTGATGTTAAAATGGCTACCTTTAATATTTTTCTCATTACATTTACACTCTCAGCTCATCCTAAGTCCTTCACTGAAATACACCATTACAATCTGGATCAACAAAATGACACGCTAGTTCTAATCTTGGCACTTAACTTCAGGACGGTTACAATACCTGAAATTTCCTCGAGTTCTTTCAGTGACACGTTTGCAAGTGAACCAGGTTAAAATGCAGCAAAGAACCAGCACTGGGCTCTACTTAGCGTTGTTCCTGGGGCCACTGCTGGTCCTTCCTGCTTCCCCTACAGGTCAAGGCCCTGGCGAACGGCCGGATGGGACGTCCAGAACCCCATGGAGCGGTATTCGCCACCATATTTTTTTAATATGCACATATTAAAAAAAGATAAGGAATGTGGTATTTTCTAGAGCACGATTGCTTTGGACAATAGAGTATTTCTGAATGTGCTTTTGTTTCTTCGTATGTTTATGTAGCACTGAAAATGCCACCTCAAGCTGCTGAAGTACAAAGTCTCCCACAGATGGTTGGACGGTGATAACGATAAGCTCTCTAGCTTAGCTTGTCACAGTACATGACACACATCATACCGGATAAATACTGTGACTCAGGTAGGTACGATACATGAGCCAATGGAAATGCTCCTTTGAGATCAAGAGGTAACAGGTACTAACAAACAGAAACCAAACAGGTCAAGGCATGTCGAACATTTAATAAACTCGCAGCATCAAACAGCTGATGAAAATGTGTCATTTTAAAATATTATTGGGAAGAATTATGATTTTCGTGTTAACTTACTGACTTAATAAACGTAAAAATATTTATTGAAAAGCATATAAAGTCCAATGAAACTAAGTAAAATTACTTTTATTTTTATAAATAGATAATTCATTAAACAAACAACTTTTAGCAGAATGTTAGCTGTTCATTATCTGCTTTAAGTATGAAATGTATGCAACAGTTGTTACATCTCTCTATAACCTTCATGCAACTACTTTTGTTAACTTCCCCATATTTCCAACACTACTTCAAAGACATGATAAATAATAGGGTGTTTCAGTCACAAAGTGTCACCTTTGCTGCGTCAATAGAATATGATCTGCTTATGTCAAAGCTGCCAGTTATGGATTATAATACCAGGATTTACTGGACTTTACAGAAGCAGCTAGCATATTCCATGTTTTCATTCCCTATGCAGTAGTATGATCCACAATGATGTCACTGTGAAAACTAGTCACTAGGTTCTCAAACACTAGGATCTAAGAGAAATAGACCCTCTAGACGGAGAGCAACAAGCTGGCATCAAGTACTGCTGAACGTTTTGTCAGTAAATGGCATATAACAGATAGATGAATGATTCTGTAATCAAAATACAGTAAAATTTAATTATTTTTTTCTATAGACAGCCAAGTAAAATTAATGTTGTTATTACTCCACTTATTCTGGAAATTGCAGCTTCAAATGTTAAATGTTTTACAGCAACGAATATTTCCATATATTATTTTTAGTAGCATGGCCATATATTAAAAAAATGCTCTGATTCTATGTAGCTTTTTTCAAGAGTGTAAACTATGATTTAAGTAATCATTTATTTGAATACAATATTGATCTATTCAAGCATAATCTAGTCATTCTTCATAACGAAATGTTCAGTCCAATTTTGACGCTTTATGCAGATGTCACTTATTTCTCACGAAGCCGCAGTGTGGATTCAGGTTTATCTGTGTAAGTACTCAGCACAGCGTCTGGCATGTGATAAGCTCTCAGTATACATTACTATTATTATTTCTATGAAGTGACTCAATCCATTTATAATAGGAAAATTAGCTAATGCCCCAAGAGAACAATCAGAAAATAAACCTACAGAGGTATGACTTCTTTTAATGATTATGCAGCCACTACATCCCAAGTTTTGTGTATGTGCTAAACGGTTTCAAATATTACAAACTATTTTTAAGATCATACTATACCTGTCTGCTCTGTTAAGTTTTTGCTATGGCCTCTGGCCTAAAGCAATACAATTCTGACAGAATATGTACATTAGAAAACCATATAAAAACAGTGCACACGGAGATCGGGTCAGGCATTGTACCGTCACCTCCCAAAGTAGTGACCAGCGTCATTCAGGACGCCCTAGCTCCTTTGGGTTTAAAGTTTTTTCTTTTTCTTTTTCAATTATAGTAGATATTCAATATTACTTTATGCTGGTTTCAGGTGTACAGCCTAGTGTTTTTTTTCTTTACGTCGCATCTTATTTGACTTCTGCAAAACCTGTCGCCCTGTCTTCTCTCATACAGAAACATTACGAGCTGTGACAAAGTTCTGTCCTCTAAGGAAAAAACTCCTTAGAAAGGTTCTTGTAAAAGCCACTGTAGGTTTACGGAGACTGGAACGAGGTGTTGGGCCACCACGGTAAGAGTGAGTTCTCGAATGGTCTCAACAAACTGAAAACACTGATCTTTTGAGTAAATTATAGATACGTACGTATGTAAAGGATTTGATGAAGATTTTCTGATGTTTAACTATAACTAACTTTTTTTCCCACTAGAAAAGTTAACTGACTCAACGTAACAAGTCTGTCTTACAAGGAACAAAATGATGGAAGAAAAAGTCTGTCAAAAACAGACTCCTGTCATTCTTTTAGTATCAAATAAGAAGGAAAACAAATTTTTTTTGTTAAGATACAACAGCACACCTGACACCACATGATTCTGGCCTACAATGTTATTCTGTGACTATTACCACCCAGAATTTGGGGCAGGGGGAAACCCGACCCTCAAACACGCCCTTCAGAGGCACAATAAAATCTTCCCCATGTTGTCCTGGTTAAAAGGAGTGTGGAAACGAAGCGCGACACCTCTCCGCTACACCAAAAATCGAGAACGAATAACCGGAAGGCAGATTCCCTCTGAATGCACTATCATTCTACAGGCTTCGGGGAGATCACGTCCGCGGTTCCATCCTGTGTGCCCCGTCACTGTGTTTTAGGAGATGCAGCAGCCCGTGTCCTTCTGGGGCTTGATATCAGGTTCTTTCACAGGTTTCACCACCTCTTCTGGCTTGGGTTTGGTCTAGAGAGGAAGAAAGAACGAGAGCGTAAGAACGTAAGCTAAGGTTTGGAACGGGGACGCTGTGTTTTTCTGCTTCAGATTTTACAAGACGCACTAAGAAATCACACTGAGACGGAGGGAGCTTTTCTAGGAGCTACACGTCAAGTCCACTCAAGACGTAGTCAGAAACGACATTTCAGTGAGGATGGACACCCGACGGGCAGGCGAAAATCAAGCGAACGGTGCTCTTCCTCCTTCTGAGGAGGGAGACGGTGTGGGGGGAACCACGCGCGGGGACCCTCAGGGAGACAGTGAGGGGGAACCACGCGCGGGGACCCTCAGGGAGACAGTGAGGGGGAACCACGCGCGGGGACCCTCACGTCTGGAGATCGCTCGTGAGGGTACAGGCTACGTGCGCGGGCCCATCTTAGAGGCTGAACAGGACACAGAGATACCTGTTCTCAGGAATACCGGTTCTAGTGTGGGTAGGACATTGTATAAAAACCATCCGATTTCAAGGAAGGGGCCACGGCTGCGAAGTAATTCCCGCGGCCTTCTCCCAGACCCCTCCTTTGTGGAAGTCAGACCTCGACACGGCCACCCGCCCCCATGTGATTCAGCACACCGAGATGTACTCGGAGAAAAGTGAACGAAAGCGGTCTCGTTTTAGCCCTGGGTGATGTACTTCGTGGCCTGCTGAAATCAGGCCAAATCTTCAAACGCCCCGCACTACGCTAAATCGGAAAGAGCACTGCTGTCGCGACAGAAAGCCGGGTGAGCCGCCCTTCTCGAAGCAGGCTCTGCCAAGCCGGCGAAAGGGCGAGACGGTGCGCGGAAGCGGCGTCGGTCAGTCGGGCAGAAAGTCAGAAGAGGACGCAGGCCTCCAGGTTCACGGTTAGACACAGCTATCTACTCATCCGGAGGAAAACGGCAGGGCTAACTCTGCACCCCTTTGACGCGAGCGCGAGCGAGTGGGCAGGCGCGCGCTCGTACACCGTCGTCCTTGGGTCTGCCGCTGAGGTCGAACGCGGCCAGCGCTTCTGGGGTCCACTGCGCGCTCGCAGGCGGAAACTCGAAAGGCACCGGCTCCACGAGACCGTAGTTGGCTTTGAGCTCCAGCTGCGGGGCTTCAGTTGGGACTTTTTGAAAGTAACTGCAAAGTAATTTAAACAGCAATTCACTCATCTGTCCGTCAGCTATTTGGCTGTCTTACTGCGTTCGAGGGCCTGTGCCCGGGACAGACAGCTCAGTGACGCCGTGAGGATTTTCGTGCCTCGCGTTGCTTACGGAGGACGCGGGACCCGTCACGACGCCTTGTGAACTACAAGGCAAATGGAACCGAAGCCCCGACGGGTGCGGCGTCGTGGGCATGCACGAGGAGGGCCGTGAACCCAGATTTTGGGGGTTCGAGGAGGCTTTCCAAAGGAAGCAATGGGGGTTAAACTGGGCACGTGCAAGAGCGTGCAAGAGCTCGGCACAACCAGACGACATCCCCGGTGGAAGAATGCAGAGAGGGAAGGGGGACAAATAGATTCCAGCAACCCACGCGGGTGGTGATCGGCAGTCTACGCAATGCTGACTTAACGACAAAGTGCTTGCCTGATGGAGAATGAATTTCCCTGCTTTGCAGGTAGCTGAAGACACAGAGCGATGAACACGCAGAAGGAGCTGAGACCAGATACATAATGTGCAGAGGAACGGCCGGGAAACGAGAAAAATCAGGGCGGTCTGAGCCGGCTACAGGCTACGAATGCAGGCTCCAGTTTAACAGCTGCTTCTGTATATCATCACCAGAGGCAGCATAAAAGTTAGGTCCAACACAGGTGAACTTTATATTATCAACTTAAAGAGCGGATTAACCGCAGTTCACCATGAAATCTTTGGGAGCAGATCGACGCACACAGTCAGCCGCCTCAGCCACAGACCCCCAACCGTGGACCAAAAACAGGGCAGACATTTCCCGGAAACGGTCTGCGTGGACGTGAACCTGGGCAGCTCAAACCTGGGTTGTTCGAGGGTCAGTGTGTACGATTATCGCTATTACTACGGGAGGACTGGGCGGCACTCACATAAACCCATTTTCCCGCTGGCACTTCTCCAGAGTGTTCTTCACCAGGCTTCCGAGCTTCCTGAAGAACAAGTGTCCCGAGGGTTTGACCGTCGGCCCCGGCCCCTTGGTTTCTCCATATTCTCTGCACAGTGCTTCTGCCTTTGCGTAAACTGCATGTGACACAGAGTGGTCTGGCTGTAATTCGTTTTTGAGCATTTATACTAAAAAGGCTGTAAGGTGGAGATGGTGGGCAATTTCGCTGCTCTTTACCTAGTGTGACAGCGACACGCAGACCAGTGCGAGGGGAAGGAGGGTATTTTCTACAGATTTTAGGTTTTTGAAACGTTTTTTGTTCTCCAATTACCTCATTCCCATTCGCTTTCATGAACTGAGCCAGAATTTCTTTTAAACGCCTCACCCCTTTATGATAAAACACGTTTTTAAAAAAGGAGTTCATACTCCGGCAGAAACACTCACGTTTCTCTGCTTCTTGGAGGGACCTGATCGCTTCGCCACATTTGTCACTAGCCAGCAGCGTCTGACCGTGGTAACAGTACGCCTGGTGGAGGAAACTCACTTTTATTCACTCTCCCCCCGAACGATGCTCCCCGCCAGCTCTGCTTCGTTATACGCGTGGCAGGTGAATCGATGCCTCTGCCCATGGTTTGAAGTTTCAGGGCGATCCTTACGTTAATTTATTTGAGTAAGTGGAATTATGTCACGGCTTTGAGCCAAACCGGCCTTCCAAGCATGGGAACAACTTCAACAAGGATTTGCTGAAACCCGTTTTTAAAACCAGGGCGCAGTGGACGAAGGGGGGGGAAGTTTCTGTGACAATGGGGACGGAAAGGGGGGGGGTACCGAGGTCGCGGCCTGAATGGGCTTTAGGAGAAAGAAAGGCAAGAGCCGGAAGGCGGCCGCCTCGGCTCTTCAAGCATGTCCATCGGGGGAGGACAGCGCGTGGTCACGCAGCACGCTTGAAGACAGAGAAGGTAAAAGAAATAAAAACGCTCGTCCAGATCTGAAAGAGGTTTCTGATTCTCGCTCATGTAATATTCTACCCAACGAAGTCATAAACTTGTGTGGTGGGTGAGAGAGACTGAGCAGTGACTCCCAAAGCAGTGCCTATGACTGCTTTGTCACCACTCGAGGTGACACTCGCTGTGGTGTGCCCGGCGGCTGGGGTCAGTAAACGTGTTCCTCCACGTACAGGATGAAAGGAGACACTGTTATTAAGTGTGCAAAAGGTTCCAGCTTAAGAGCGGGTTTAAGACAATAGGTAACTCCACGGCTGGACTCCGTGCGCAGCCCCCGGCACCTCCTACTCCATTTCACAGTGGCTGCGCCGGCGGCCAGTGACCGTGTACTGACAGCTGTCCACTGTCTGTAAAACTAAGCCTGGCGAGATGACAGACCTGGCACTCGGCGGTCAGAATGACAGTAATTTACACCGTTTCGGGGTTATAGATACTTACATAAGCTGTGTAGAAACACATTTTCAAGAGAAGATATTTTCTCCATTTAGCAGAGTAGGCAGGCTCCAAACTGGATAAAGTATGATCTAAAGTTACATTTTAAAAAGCAGAATATAATTTCACCCTGATTCACTAGAAGCCTTTTAGTTCATGTGTTCAGATGCTAAAAGCAGAATGCCATTCAAGTCTAAAACCCAAGGATTTACACATTTTTTAAAAACCTCACTTTATTTAAAGTGATTTGTTTTCCCCATAGCTCTATTTTAACTCCATGAGACTAAATACCACGACCCCTCTTCGATGTGATGAGTCATGCAACTTAAGTTTAACGTAACGATCAAAACAGGTACGACTAAGAAGTTCAAGGTAAGTACAAATTACACTATTCTATTATCAAATTGTTAAGACTGGTCTGACACAGCAATGCACAGAAGAGCCTAGTCTCCTCTGGCATGCCCAGGTCACTGCCATCACGATGTGGCTACGTGCCTGTCTCTTTCTCCGGACTGTGACTCTGTTCTACTGATCTCTCGTTTACCAACAACTAAAACAGTAACCATCCCATAAACTGAAACATATGCATGTTTTCTAAATAAGTGAATGAAAAGAAAAATAGACTAATGAGAAAATCTGAGTTTTAGTCCCAGCTTCCCACCTGCTAGCAGTTAAATTACGAGTCAGTTATGTTAATTCTCTGGATTTCGGTTTCTTGTCTAAATAAAGATAGCAACTATGAAGTTGTTATAAAGACCAAAAAAATTTCAAAAGCAAAAGAGCTGTAAAATTATTAGATGTAACTGGTTAAAAAATATAGTATCCTCCTTTCCATTAGAAGCTATGCAGCATGTTAACTGTGAACAGATAATTCTTTTATTTTCTTTTAAACAAAATTAATAAAAATAATGCAGATATTATTCCGGTTTTGCAAATAACGAAACATCTGAGAATCTTTATGATTTGCTTGTTCCCTATTGAGCCAAGAGGACAATCTGAACATCTAAAGACTAAAAAATACAACAGAAAAGCACACTGACCCGCTTTCTGATAGAAATTGGCCGTTTCGTAGGCCAGCGCGGCGATCAGGCCAGGAGCATGTTTCAGCTCAATAGCTCGGGCGATCGTTACTGTAACCAGAACACAAAATGAGTATGTCGTTCCATTCACCTGCCATCACTCTACGTTGGACTATTACAGCAAAGCTTAGTCTGACGATTTGAGATTTTGTCTGTCAAAGGTTTTAACATGAAAAGCTACAGAAAATGCAAACAAACAGAATACTGAGCTTGTTGGTTTGGATACCATTGCTTTAAATAAATCACTAGCCAATAACTATCTAATTGCAGAAAATTACCACTACAAAAAAGCATGATTTAAGAGGAAACGAAGCCTTTGAGGGCATTGGAGTCTGAAATAAAGAAAAACAAAAGCCTACAAAGTTCCTTGTTTTCATCTTAAGTCTTCATTTATTTCCTGCGATTGAAAGCTAAAGATTTCAAGCCAAGCCGCATAATGAAAGAGGAACAGAATGAGCCCGGCATGGTAGAGGTGGAAAAGATGAGTTACAAAGATGAGTTACGGAATGAATTCTATGCTGTCAGAAACAGCAGGAAATCAAAATCCTCTTTAAAAGAGCCATTAAGTTGTGAGGCCTTTTCCTAACTAAAAATGAGGCAAATCCTAAAGGGAAAGTTATTCCTTTCTATAAATGTCTCAAACTCTGAACCTCAATTCCAGCTTATTCTGATTTTGGAAAAAAGAAGAATTAAAGGCCAATAAAGACTTCCTTCAAAAAACAAAATATCTTCCAATAGGTAGGATACCTTCTTGAGCTTCAGCCTGACACTGGATAATATAAGCTTCTATCAGCCGGGCTTCTAAATCTCTCCCCTTTTCTGCAGGTGTGATAAGCTTTGGGATGTGAGTTTCCTGAGAGAGAAAGAAAACCAAAAAAGCCATATTTAGTCTAACCCAGTTGTGAGTAATGAAGAAAATGGAAGTTGACACATTCGGTTTGAAGATTTATCAGAAATTTAGGGTACTAACAAAAAAATGCACCCCCAAAAAGAAAAACAATACTATGCTTATAGAGAATAAAAGCTGCTGCATACTGAAACTTTTACAGCTTTTTAAAAGCTTTTGTAAAAATAAGGAATCCAAGAGCAAAATTTGGGTCATAATAGACTGGTTTGATATATAAGTCATATCTTCATCTCAGAAAACGTTTAACTGAAACAGTAACCAAAGTTCCCTTCTGCATGACGCCAGAATCGTCCATTCGCATTAATAACTGTAGATACAAAGAAGACTGACTACATTTCTATAGCTAAGTCAGGATCAGAGCCTTTTAATCGCTGTAAAAGCACTTTATTTTTTCATGAGAAAATCCAACATTGGCCTCCAGGAGAATTTACCCTCAAGCTCAGTCCTGCAGAAGCACCGGACAGAGGATAATGGGAAATGGTGAGAACCATCAATCACGGTGCTGTTTTCTCCTATCTTTTCAGAAGAGACAGAAAAATAAGCAGTGAACCACAACTTGAATTTTCTAATTGTAACATTCACTGCTGATCTCCTAAAATGGAGACATTTAGTATCTCTAATTGGCTACATTCATCAACATAAGGAAAACATACTAGTTCTTTTCACATAATGAAATCATCTCCTCCCCCCATCCTCCTAAATAAAAATTATTCGAGAATTATAAGCAGTAAGAACATATTTTATTATTATTACTTTACCTTTAAGTGTTTAAAAATCCCAGCTGCAATTTTCAGGCTTCGATGGACCTCTTTGGCTTCCTCTTCTGTTATGCTTAGAGACAGGAGGAACATCGCTCAGAGGAGGGACCCTGTTTCTGCTGTCACAACCGACAGCTACTGCCTCCCATAAAACCGAATGAGTCACTCGTGTTTCTCACCGCTAGTTTCTTTATTTTTTTCCCTTTTAACACCAGGCTCCATAACTCTGATAACTCTAATGGTAACATTATGAGGCAACTTTCCATTTATCAGAAGTGGCACCTTTCATCAATAGCTTAGACTGTTTAATGCAGCTCCATATCCCGAAAAAATAACACACATGCATAGAAACCCTTCCCCTTTGACTTACTTTTCTTTTCCAGCCAGTCTTGAAGCATATTTGGTATACCATAAAGCTACATTAAATCCCATGGAAATTAATTCAAAAACAGCATCCTGCTGGGCACTAGAATTAGAAATATGATCATTAAGTTTTGCCTATTGTACGTCCAACTCAAAATTATAAAGACTATCTGTTAACTGCGAAATGAAAATGGTCCTTGTGTTTAATATAGGCGAGAAGACACACACACACACACACACACACACACACACACACACACACACACACTTAACAATGAATACTTAACACAATGGCCCAGTACGTACTTCATAATAGTAAACATGAGAATAGCAGTTATCCCCAAAGGTTATCCTGCATAGAGTAGGTTTAAAAATAGATTTCGGGGACTTAAACCCAGAGAGTTAGAAAGTCCTGGGAGGGGCCCAGAGTCTCATTTTGAACAAGTTCCCAGCTGGTTCTGAAGCAGGTGGTTCTTAGGCCACATGCTAAGAAAGCGGAATTCGGAGGAGAGGTGGTTACAGGCTAGAACGACTACGGAAGGCTGCGTGGTGTGCGGTCTGGACTGTCCTTGGGAAGCAGAAGGCCGTCTCGGGTGAGGAATGAGGCTGTGAAAGCACAAGAAAGGACAGAGGTTTCCCCGACAGCAGGGACCCAACGAGCCTGACTGGAGCAGATGGTCTGTGAAAACGAAGCGAGGCACAGAAGGGCGAAAAGCCAAGCGGAAGCGAAGCTGCAGGTTTCGAATGCCAAGGCAGAGTGCGCTACGAAGAAAGAGGCCTCAAAAATGAGTACGTTTGGTATCTGGTTTCCTTCAGATTCTATTACTAATATGACAGAAAGATGGTAAAAGCTTATAAAGCAAATAAGATAATACTAATTTTTAATCACTATCGTTCTGGTAAGACCCTGAAAATTCTTTATGCCTTACCTCATTTATTGCAAATGATGAAGGAAACAAAACCAACATCCTTATTCTACACATGTAATCCTAAGATATTAAAAAAATGACCCAAAGAGAGGAAACTAGAATGATTTTGCTTTGTATTTTTTTATTTAACTGTGCGTCCATCTTAAAAGGAATGGAGACACGTGGAGACATTTAGATTAAAAAAATGCTTACAAAAAAAGTCATTCAAAAATAACTTATAAGCTATCTTGTTTAACATGTTATAACATAAAAAACGACAATGACAAACTTCTTAAAACAGTTTCACCCTGCTGCAAAAATTTTAATGCATAGTTTAACCCTTTCCCCATTCACCCCGAGATAATTCGCGGATCACAGTCCTAACCTCATCCCCAAAGTCTGCCGTGAAATATCTCGCTTTTATTATTATTTCGCATCGCTCTAGGGTATTGATAGTCTTTGGAAACGACATTTACAGCTTTCTGTTTTTAGCAGTTCAATGGCTGAAAACGTCAAATGCTAAAAAACGTGGGGTTCCTACGTGGGATGTTAAACAAACTCGGGCAGCGAGCTGCCCTGTTTTCTTTTTTTAAAGGGAAAGGGGTTAATTTCATCTTTGAGAATTTTCAAATCAATTGTATCTGGTGATCTCGTAGACATACCTCATCTAAAACTTCATCTTTAAATAATGAGTTTTGCTAAGTTATGTGAGTTTCATGAATAAGTCTCTTTTAATCTGAGTTATTTCAACCTGCCTTGCTCCGAAGACTCCAATCGATTGCACCTAACGTAAATAGTGGTCGGAGTACATAGCTGATACCGTGCAGTGTCTATTGAATAAGCAGCAATCAAAGATAAAGTAACTTAAAAATCTCAGATTTCCAGAACATTCAGTATTATTACCTAAGGCCTTCATCACATAATTCTTCACTGTCTTGTGAAACTGTTGAAAAATGCTGTCACAGGAATCCAAATTTGGCATAGTAGAAAAAAGTATCAATTTATATAATGCAAAAACACTCTGCATTCCACCAAAGTTTTATAAAGTAATAAGTTTGACTATATAAAACAAAAAGAAATTTAAAGAAAAACATTCCTTAATTTTAGATGAAGCGCAAAGCTGTCATAGAAAGAAAAATGGAAAATGAGGACTTGAAAAATCTTAGTATGTCTGACTACTAAAATGTGGAAAGGATCCGTCATTAGTCCCCAGCTTAATACCTAATTTATGAATTCTACATCCAAGACTCCCAAGATAGGAAGGACACCGACATTCGTTCAATGTGCATTCAAGATGCCTGGCGTTAGTCACTTTACGTCACTTTTCCTAGTTCGTTCCTCACAAAAGCTCTAGTCTCTGTGACCCCGACACAGCGGAAGCAGCAGGCGTTCGCAGAAGGAAGAGCTGACAGTGCCTGAGTGGCGTGGGAAGCCAGAGCCCACCCTGGTCTTTCGGCGATCTCCATTTCCCTCCCTTCTGATGTTATCAAATGGTGATTCTAAAGCGACGTGAGATAAAGATATGACCATTTAAACAGCCCAACGGTGCAAAAAAAGTAGTTCAACAAAAATCTGGCACCATTATGTTTCCTGTCCTAATCAGATCTCTGTGAAGTAGTTTCACAAGAGCGATGAGGAAGTTTGAGGGAAAGCTTTTAATAAGGGCGGAAAGAAGAAAGAGAAATTAGGAAGAGAACAAATAATGCGAGTCGAAAAGAGTACAGAGCTAGGATGAAGGCAGGGAGAACGAGAGAAAGAGAGAGACTGACCAAGGACGTCTGAACTTTCATCAGAAAAGTAGGGCGAAAACCAGAATCCTGCTCTGCTTGAAAGGAGGCAGAGACCGGAAGCCAGCGCTGGCTTCCGAACTCCCAAACGTTCTCTGTACAAAGTCAAGGCTGTTCTAGTTAATGTCTCTCGGTGATCTCAGAAATAGATGTGGTCTAGGAGAAACAAATTATGCTTTTACTTAATAGAAAGTATTAGAAGTTTAGGTAAAACATTAAAAATTAACTTCCTGCTGGGAAAATGCTGATCGCATCTCTATTTTATTTCTTCAAACACAGGGGCTGTGTGAGTTAACAGTGGCTAATAGTTAGTTCCAAACTGGCTTCGACTTGGTCCTCTTGGCACTGCTCACCTGGGGACCTGTCCTTGTAACGTGTCGGTCCACTTGAAATTTTGAATATATCGTAACTTGCTTTCTTGGCTAGATTCATCCAATGAATTTATGAAACCTATAAAAGATAAAGAACATTTCAGTTTTAGAAGAAATATCAAGTGCTCTATTTAGAAAATTTTTCAGATAAGGACTTTTCCAGGTACCTGAATGAAACTTCTAACCCCTCTCCCTTCCTGTCTGTTTCTCACACCTCCTCCTAAGGTAACATAATACGAAGTACACACACATTTAATTTTCAAAATGTTAAAAAGACCATCCTACATTCTCATATTTCTGAACCTCAGGCCCACCAAACAATACAGCCGGGAACCAAAAGTAAATGTGAACTTCTGTATAGCTGTCTTTCAAAAACTCTGAAATTCATATAAATAACCAACCTTGTAAAAGAGAAAAATATGAATCTGCTGCATTCTTCATCATTTCTGGATTACAGCTCAAATCAGTGAACAGTTCAAGCAGTCGTGCTCGGGATGATCTCAAGTCACTTATGTAAGACAGAAACAGTAAAGCTGAGTGAGCTGTGCTACAGAGAATCTACGTAAAAGTGGCACAAATTTCCCAATGTAAAAGCTTTCAAACACAGCACACACGTACACATCCTGGCAGGTATTAATAAGTGCACAGGGATCGATTCGATTAGGACCGACACTGGAGGTGCCTGAAATTTCCACTAACAATTGTTTGAAAACTTGCACTAAGATAAACTCGGTCCAATTAAAGGAGCAAATTATGGATATAATTATGTAATAAAAGTATACGGTAAGTTTTCATTTAAAAAATCAAACACAAGCTCTTAGGACGAGAGGAAGGAATTAAGAAGGGATAAACTAAACTAACCAGTTTTACAAAAGAAGTATTTGAAAAATGGAAATTTAACATCTTTGTGCATGAATTTAGTATCGCCTTAAAATTTCAAAATTTGACCTTATGTCAAAATATAATTTAAGCAGCAAACAGTATTTTAAAAACAAAATTGCGTTCTATAATTCTATACACACACACGGAAAATACTGAAAGACATGTGGCCGTTTTAAAACGTCTCCATTCTCCTTCACTCCTCTGCAGCAATGTCGCAGTCCATTTCCTTCTTGAAACTCTTTCTCCCTTGATTCCAGGAATGCTAAAATTTCCAAGTTCTCCTCTTATCTCTGAAAGTGCCTTCTATGTTTTTTTTTTACCTCCTTTTCTTATTACCACCTCCCAAGATGTTCAGTCTGGCTTCCCCCCTTCTCTCTCTTGAGGTCTCGCCCATTAGTGCGACTTTAGATCCAATCCTAGCTCTGCATCATCCGCTCTAACTTGGTCCTGTTCCAGTTCCACATCTGATCGCAGAAGGCAACTTGTTTAGTGAGGGTTCCAGAAACCACACTACACGAACAATGACGGAGGACACTTGTGCATGAATGATTAAGGACTAAATTTCAATTGTAAGCACCGAGAGAATAAGGACTGCCTATCTAGAACGTAGTAGGTGCCTAGAACAAAGCATGGAGTCGAATTTCTTTGTTGAGTGGAAGAATACTAACATCTCCAATCCCGTGAGATTTTGAAGAGCTGTCATGTAGCAGTGCTGTTGGAAGAGAACACTGACTTAACCCTGCGTGGTCCTGGTGCAGTGTTTATTCGCCGATACTGGCTCTAAGGAGGCCTACTCCCAGAAAGCACACGCCAACAATCACATACGGCTGAGTAAGAATGGGATGGGTACCTCAGGAACGTCATTTTTGAGTAACTGCGCTAGAAGCTGGGAAGAAGTAATTCCTGGACTAGCAGAAAATTTGAACTTTAAGGCCTATTCTAGACTCAAATAGTTTGCTAGCTATTTCTAGGATGGTGCTCCATCGTCACCTGCAACCCAACTTTATAAAGTTATAGTCATCTTAAAATTATAGAATTTTAAAAAAATGTACTTTAGAAATATCCAATTTAGACTGTTCATTTTATTGATGACTAAGAGCTGAGACTTGCCCAATGCTACAGATAAAAGTTAACTGGGACCAATCTCTGGGAGTCGAAGAGTAGGACTGGTGAACTATAACCTGTAAATTGTCTTCTCATGGCCCACAGCTTTTTTTATTTTGTAAAAATGAACAAAGGAAAATATGCAACAGCACCTGTACGTAGCCCACAAAGCCCAAAATATTATTAGACTTTAAAGAAAAAAATTTGCTCACCTCTGGTCTTGATTTATAAGCCAGTTTTCCTACTTTTTGCTTCAGTTACTTCTTTCCACAAAAAAGCACCAACTCTCTTAATTTTTATTTGCCATCAATGTCCTGATCATCTCGTTTCTACATCTCAATACACTGAACACTTTTCAACTTCCCAGAGCACATCGGTCTGGCCAGCTGACTCCTAAATATCTCTTGCATTTATCTCTTTTATTCCGAACTGCTCTGGCCACTACCTCTAGAACAAGAGGTTTTCGGCTGAAATGACTTTCTCTTCTCCCTTCTATCTAAATCGGGGATCGGCAAACTTTCTTCTGTAGAAGCCGAAGTAAATATTTTAAGCTCTCTGGGTCATAAAGTCTCTGTTGGGACTACTCAGCTTGCTGTGTAAAGGAAAGAAGACAAATGTGGCCACAGACAACATGCAAATAAGTGGGGGTGGAGTGGCCGTGTTCCATTAAGATTTTATTTATAAAAACAAGTAGTGGCCCAAATCTGTTGGACCTAATTTGCCAACCCTTGATCTAAGGTATTCGATTTATTTAAACTCCAGCTCAAGTCCTTTCCCCTATGTGAACACTAGTCAGGACACAGGGTCTCTCCCTCCACGTGACTCAATGAATTTACTACCTGGCCAATTAGCCACATCCACGTATGATGCTGTGGATCTCTGTACTATTGAAATAGCTTAACTCCTTTATTCTGATTGTTTTAGCCTCTCTGGGACCCACTTACTGATCTAAATTAAGGACCGTGGCCTTGATGGCTGCCAAAGTTGAATAACCTATGATTTAACTCTTCACATCATTTACAAGTTTATAAGGAGTCTACTACGGTTAAGGACAGTGTGTTACAGTTAAGGACAGTGTGTTACGTACTTCTGTATTGCCCATGGGACCTAAATAAGTATCTTGTATCCAAGGGTGGCTCAATCGGTTCTTGCTGAGATTGACTAAAACTTACCTGCAAATTTTTGAAGCAGCAGGACCGGAGACTACACCATAGTAATTAAAAGAAACGGGAGCTGTGGCTTTTAATGGGTTCCTATGAAACCAATGTGTCATTTTCTCCAGATGTTTCCTATAAACAAAAAGGTACGTAATACATAAAAATTAAATGAAATATTTAATAAAACCTGACTGCAGGGTATATATATACTTTCATATAAGATATATAGAAAACACACACATATAAAAATAAAATACTTCACTGCTGTAAAACAATCTTGTTTTGTCTATACATAGTAATCTATGTTTAGATCAGGTCTAGTAAAAATAGCATCTGGAAATTTGCCCACAATAACTGCAATGTTAAATATACTGGAGCAGTCATATTTAAACCTTAATGCATAAAAATCACCTGGAGAGTAGGTCTCGTTAAAATGCAGGTTCTAATTTGACAGGCTGGGGTAGCACCTGTGATGCTGCTACTGCTGGTTCCCAAACTACACTTTTGAGCAGCAAAGTACTAGGCTTTGGTTAGACAGCAGAAATGAGAAGGGCCCAGGGCCAGATGAATGTAATATCCGAAAGAGAGTCAAATGGTGACACTTGTTTAGTCTGCTAAGGTTGAGAGAAATAGGTTTTAAATTAGCTATATTTCCCACATGATTTTGCTGGCTGGTTACAGCATGTTCTATAAATAGACTTTCCACATAATAGTTAATAAGCACCAATATTTTCATGATTAAAAAAACAATACTTGATCAATAACTTAAAAACCAAAATAACTGAAAAACTATTAAAATGAAATGCCAACTTAAAAAAAAAATTAAGCTTAATTTTTTAGGTTAAAAAAAAGGCAGTATGTCACTCTCCTAAAAGTCCTTGAGGTAGGTAGTGCAGATTTTACAGGAAGGCATAGCTGAGGACTTAAATATGGCAATTAGATTCCAGGAAGTCATAGATACGAAATCCTGATAAGGTTTAATTTGAAAGCATTATACAATGTTGTCGATCAACTTTTCTTAATGGGAAAAAAACGTAGGCTTCGCAGGGTATAAAATACCTACTTTAAACACCCCTCTTACCCTATTTACTTATTCAAGGCAAAACCGGTTTTGGAGAGTACTAGACAGTTAATGAAGAGAAAATGCATTGTGTACTCAATAAACAATTGAGCAAGCTCATTTATGACTCAAAACATTTAACAAGTCCTTCTAAAAATATATATATATGATCCTCTACACGTGATCCATGTAAACCTCCTGTATAACCGAAGTAAAACGAACACAGCATCTAGAGACATCTAAATCGAGCCTTCTAGAGATAGTGGCAAACAATATGCTTAATTTTGTGACAGTAAATTTCCCACACACACTCTCCCAAGGCGGCCTCCCGCTGTCGATGGAAACGCCCGACGTTCTGTATACGTCTCCCCACTGCAGAACCTGGAAGGTCAACACGGAACCGTCCGCCCGGCCCCATCCTTCCGCTTCGGGGACCCCGCACCCGTTTTCAGGAATTCGGAGGGTGGGGTCGCGGAGCGCCACACCCACCCGCAGGCGCGGGGGACCTGTAGGTGCAGCGCGGCGGTGGGACCGACGCCGCCACCCCACCCGGAGGAGGACCCGATTGGCGACAGGGTCCCCCGACCCGAGCAGCGCGCCTGAGCCCGGGGCCCCACTTCCTGTTTACCGGCCTCTCGGACCGTGCGCGCCCCGCGCAGGCGCCAACCCCAGCGCCCCTCTTTCCCGGTGGGCGTTTCCGTGAAGGGCAGACAGTCCCCCCGGGGGGCCGCGAATGGACCCCCGTGTAGCTCCAGAGCCCCCCGATGCCAGCGGAGCGGCGCGCACGGAAATTTCGCGCATGCGGCTTACACCAACGGTTCACGGGGCCCGCGTGGGTTTCCTTTCGTGGGTTTCAGGGTAGTAGGAGGAGGCTACCTTTGGGGACAACTATCCGGGAGTCTATGGAGACTGTAACAGGGGGTGCCCCACTGCTTGGGACTCCGGGGGGACGACAGCGGCAAGACTATGACGGGGAGCCCCCGTCCTCGACATACTTACCGGGCCTCCCGGGGGCTGGGCGGCAGGTGCTCGGGGAAGCGAGACGTCGTCCGCGTCGGCAGGCCACAGACGGAGGGCGCGGAAAGCCGGGCCACCGAGCCTCGGCCTCGCGAGAC